TGCACCGTATACCGGGCATGCGTTCAGATCCTTGTACGCACCACGATGGAGGATGCAGTCATTAGGGCATGCATGTATCTTCTGCACCTCCAATCCTAGAGGGCATACGACCTTCTTTGCTGCGTATGTACTGTCGGGCAATTCGTTATCCTTTGGAAGCTTCTTCTTCAATATTTTCAGTAGCTTCTCAAATCCTTTGTCAGGCACAGCATTCTCTGCCTTCCACTGCAGCAATTCTAGTACGGTACCGAGCTTTGTGTTGCCATCTTCGCAATTGGGTACAACCCTTTTTTGTGGTCCTCTAACATGCGATCGAAGTTCAGCTTCTCCTTTTGAGTGTCGCATTGCGTCCTTGCATCGACAATGACCTGGCAGAGATCATCATGATCGGGCACATCGTCTGGTTCCTCTTGATCTTCAGCAGCTTCGCCCGTTGCAGCATCATCGTGCACATCGTCTGGTTCCTCTTGATCTTAAGTAGCATCACCATATTCAGGGGGCACATAGTTGTCATCGTACTCTTCTTCTTCGCCGTCTTCCATCATAACCCCTATTTCTTCGTGCCTCGTCCAAACATTATAGTGTGGCATGAAACCCTTGTAAAGCAGGTGGGTGTGAAGGATTTTCCGGTCAGAGTAAGACTTTATATTCCCACATATAGGGCATGGACAACACATAAAACCATTCTGCTTGTTTGCCTCAGCCACTTCGAGAAAATCATGCACGCCCTTAATGTACTCGGAGGTGTGTCTTGAACCGTACATCCATTGCCGGTTCATCTGCGTGCATTACAGAACATCATGAATAGATAATTAAGTGACCAAATTAATAGAAGTTCATCATCATATTAAAACCAAAGTACATACATAGTTCTCATCTAACAACATAAAGCTCTGCAGAGCATCTAAATTAATTAAACCATACATTGAAACTATGTAAAACATTTCAATGCGAAAACAAATGCGATCATAATCGTAACCAATGTAACAACTGATCCAACGGCATAATGATACCAAGCCTCGGTATGAATGGCATATTTTTCTAATCTTTCTAATCTTCAAGCACATTGCATCCATCTTGATCTTGTGATCATCGACGACATCCGCAACATGCAACTCCAATATCATCTTCTCCTCCTCAATTTTTCTTATTTTTTCCTTCAACAAATTGTTTTCTTCTTCAACTAAATTTAACCTCTCGACAATAGGGTCGGTTGGAATTTCCGGTTCCACAACCTCCTAGATAAATAAAATCTATGTCACGTTGTTCGGCATAATTGTCATAAATAATAAATGAACCAATAGTTATGAAAAGATAATATATACCACATCCGAGTCATAGATAGGACGAGGGCCGACGGGGGCGGATACCAAAACCATCGCACTATATAAGATGCAATAATAAAAGTAAGAAAATTATATAAATATCTATATAAACATACAAGTAAGAATTTTTTTCCTTTCAGAAAGAAGATAAGAACAAGAGGCTCACCACGGTGGTGCCGGCGACGAGATCGACGCGGGCGATCGACGGCGGTGAAGACGGGGACGGGACGTGACGGACCGCTAAACCTAGACAAATATTGAGGAAAATGGAGCTTGGAGAGGAGAAAGCTTAAGTAGTGTGGCTCGGGCATTCCATCGAACACCTCGTGTGCATAGGAGGTGAGCTAGAGCACCACAAAGCTCTCCCCTCGCCGGCCATGAAAAACAGAGCAGTGGGAGTGCTCTGCTCGCAGGCGAGGGTATATATAGTCAACTCATTGGTCCCGATTCGTCCCATGAACCGGGACTAAAGGGCAGCCTTTGGTCCCGGTTCATGCCACCAACCGGGACCAATGGTGGTGGGCCAGGAGCGAGGCTCATTGGTCCCGATTCGTCCCACCAACCGGGACCAAAAGATCCAGACGAACCAGGACCAATGGCCCACGTGGCCCGGCCGGCCCCCGGGGCTCACGAACCGGGTCAAATGCTCCCATTGGTCCCGGTTTTGGATTGAACCGGGACTAATGGGCTGACCTGGCCTAGACCATTGCCCTCTTTTCTACTAGTGCTCATATCCCGTCCCCTACATTCATACCAAACCATGCAACGTTGATAAAAACTACATAGATCATGAGTGTACATACAAATGCACAATTGGTTCATCAAAAGATCACAACCGGATCTTCAAAAGATAGCCAAAGTTCACATAATACACATAATACGGCGGACAAATTCAAACTACATCTAAAAACTTGAAATTAAGACGGATGTTCACCGCTTCCTCGCCGGCCCTTTGCCCTTCCGGCCACCGGCGCAGCTATAGGAGTCCGCGACAGGAGGTGGGTCCCGATCTACTCCCGTGTGAAATTTCATGAAAAAGTACCAGGGAATGTATTCGTGACAAAAAAGAAAAAAAATCCTATATGTAGAAAAAAAACTCTTTGGACAATTTTTTTCGGACAGTATTTCCTTCGCCACAGACACGTTTTCTGGTATTTTTACATGAAATTTCACACTGTAGTAGATTGAGAACCCAGGTTTGATACCCCCAATTTCATTTTTTTTAATTTCTTTTGGTAATATTTTAATTTAATATTCGTATAGGGTGTGGAGCACCCAAGAGCTCCAGTGTATTTTCCCATATCCATGTGACTACTCTAAGTTACTCCCCACTATGGATAGTTTTAAGCGTCGCTCGGAGCCGAGGGACATATTTACTGAAACCACCACATTTGAGGATAGGGTAATAACTTGGTATCACTTTTCACACAACTCACGAGCGAGTAACGGAGAGCACAACCATCAACTTTGCGCCTAACAAGTAACGGAGAGCACTGGTCGTTTGATTTGCTCATGGAAACAACCGTTTTGACTTATTGGGCCCACCTGTCATGCTAATGTAGCTGACGGTGTAATACATCGAGGATGGCCTCTCGGTGGGGAGCTTGTCAGGCTTGCCTCAGGGCCCAAGAAGCTTGGCGGAAGATGACTACATGAGGGAGCCTTGGAGCCCAGATAAACATCAAGAGATCATCTTGGCGTACAAGCCAAGATGGCGACGGTTCGATCAGTTCCATCTTCTGTAAAACCTTACCCCTATCACCTATCTAAAGTAAGTGCTAGGGCTAGCCATCCCATCTACTCCTATAGAAACATGCTCTCACTAGTCATATATCATCCCTCTTGTAACCCTCGCATGAGGTACTTCACCATGGATACAAACCAGAAGCGGACATAGGGTGTTAACCCTCTAAGTTGGCCTGAATCTGGGTAGCATCTCGTGTAACCTTGGTACTTCCGTCCGCGTTGGCCACCCTACCGAGGGTGCTGACGTTTCTATGTATCGTTAGTTCGCGCGCGAGACAGGGGGCTGCGCTGGCTGGAGACTGAATCCAGATCAGATCTCCCCTCGCTTCCGGCGGTCTCCCATCGAGAGAAAAGCCTCACCATAGGCTCCTTCAACTTCACCATGGGCTGGGTGGGCCGGGCAGACATCAACCCACCGGCCTACCTCCCCCGCATCGTCTTCTTCGGCGCACTGGTGTGGTGGTGATCGTCATCGACCATCACGGTGACCTTCGCGTGGGTGTCCTGCCGCCCAAACAGATTGCGTCAGCGATCTCCTCGAGGTCCACAAGATCTTCACCACTGACCTCCTATTCGGAAGGTGACGATCTGGCACCAACAAACCGAGTGCTCGAGGCCCTTCACGCTCGCCTTGAGATCGGATCACTGCATCGACCTAATAGTGAGCCACCGGCCCCCCCTCGACGTCACACCTGGTCTATATGGTATGCGACAATTGCTTCATTGGCCACATATCATAGTTCTTCATCCTGGATGGGTACACCCCGGATTGTAGCCTCAACGCTGCTAGCCTATGCATCGTCTCCATCTCAGAAACAGAAAGGCGAGGAGGCCGACGTCATCTCCATCACCGAGACCGGAGATAGCTAGGCAATTGTGGCACCAACAACTAACGACAAGGTCGTCCCATAAGTTATCACTTTGGAGCTGGTCTTGATGACAACACCAAGTGGCCCTCCAAAAAATAGCTCTTCAGCGCCAGGCATGACCCCACTCACCAACCTCACCACCTAGGTTGTGGCAACGCACATGATTCCACCCGTGTACAGTGACACCGGCTTCAGACCCGGTAATCGCCACAACTTTCACGCCTCCGGCTGCCGCTCCACTGGACCAACACCTCAACGGTCCAGGAATGGACCCCCCGAGGTTCAGGACTCTTGGAGTCGGCATCTCCAGCCTCGTTGACAGATTCTATATCGCCTCTATCATCAAGTCATGCGGAAGCACGACCAACAATCCATGCGATCGAAAACCAACAACGTGCGCTTGAAACGTCATAGATATGTGATGTCGAATATGAAACCCACACTACAACAATGATATAATCATGTGAGTTTTTTACCCGCACAACATTTACAACAATGAAAGATGTCTCCAAGGACACAAAACCAAGACAAAGCATGTTTCAATCTTGGTTAGGCCGGGTTCTCTTTTCAAACATGGACTCCACATGTGAAATGACACATCCAAAAAGCGCTTGTCGACGGGAGGACTTTAGATCTTCATAGTAAATACTGCCGCCGACAGTGCAAAATCGCTCTTATATTATGGCACGGAGGGAGTACGGAAATACTTGTCATCAAAATAAAGAAAAAGGAATGTATATAGATGTATTTTAGTTCTAAATACATCCTTTCTTGTCCATTTTGATGACAAGTATTTTCGGAAGGAGGGAGTATAATTTTTCAAAGTTTTTTTTTTACCGTGATTTCCATTTCCCGTCTACCAGAAATTCATAAAAATCGTGAATTTTCATCGAGATTTGAAAGTTTTCTCCTACGCAAACCCTAGCTGTTCTGTCCATCCCAATTCACACCCGACCCACCCACCCCATTCCCCATTTCCCCATCCGTGCGAGTGCGCCGGCGGCCAGGAGCGGCGGGTGGAGCATTGCGGCCAAATCTGCCGCCCCGCTAGCCGCCGGCCATGGAGGCCGCCGCAGCGCCAGCGGCACCCGTCCCCGACCAGGGGGGTTCCCAGTGGACCGCATCGAAGACGGCACGGAGGCGCGACTCCGACGAGAGCGCCGCCGATTTCATCAGCAGGGTCCCCGACGCCGTCCTCTGCACCATCATCTCCCTCCTCCCCACCAAGGACGGCGGCCGCACGCAGGTCTTCTCCCGCCGATGGCGCCCCCTGTGGCGCTCCGCCCCTCTCAACCTCGAGGTCCGCGTCCCATACCCCGGCCGCGGCGTCCGCACCTCCTCCGTCGCCCCCGATGTCGTCCCCAAGGTAATCTCGCAGCATCCTGGTCCCGCCCGCCGATTCTGCTTCCACGGCCTCCGCCCCGGCGACCTCCACGACCAGGCGGAGAGCTGGTTCCGCTCCCGGGCCCTCGCCAACCTTGAGGTGCTCGAAGTCGGCTACAAGGTCCACGGTGAAAAAGAGTTAGAAGAACTTATTCTGGCGAGAATTTCCCTGCCGCCATCCGCCTTTCGCTCTGCATCTACCCTCCTCGTTGCCGAGATCGGCTACTGTGATTTGCCCCGAGAGATGGTGCCGTCCATGGGCTTTGACCTCCTCGAGCTTCTCTCCTTGATCTCCGTTTCCATCTCAGTGGAGGTCTTCCGCGGACTGCTCTCTGCTTGCCGTGCCTTGAAGAGCTTACACATGTCCGGAGTTCGTGGTGCTAGTTGCCTCCATGTTCGCTCGCCGACTCTTAGGAGTATATGCTTCCGTGACAGCTCTGGTAAAGTAGAGCTTGTCATCGAGGATGCGCCTCGCCTTGTGAGGTTACTAATGCCTTTTGGTTCCCGAGATGATTGTGGTACTATCCGGGTAATTTCTGCGCCTAAACTGGAGATATTGGGCCCTTTGTTACCTGTTGTCTCCAAGCTCCTAGTCTCCCAGGTATCATCATCATCATCATCATCATCATCATGATCCTCAAACCTTGCATTTGGCATTGCTACATGGAGGTAATTATTTTTTTCATGTTCATTTTTTTTTCAGGGAATAAGTTCAGCCGGCTCGGGAAACTCGATGTATACCGTGAAGATTTTGGCTCTCAGGTGTTCTGGATATGAATTGGATGGAGTTCTTAATATCCTTAGGAGGTTCCCCTGTCTTGAGAAGCTCTATGTTATTGTGAGTGCTCATTTTGCTTGCTTTAAAACTTTTGATTTGATTGACATATTGTTTTAACCCAGAGACGCTTGACAGATTCTTAATACCCATTTTGTAGTTTCACAAACACAAAGAGATGGATAAGAAAATTGAGCCTCAGTATGACCGACTACATCCAATTGAATGCCTTCAAACCCATCTCAAAACAGTGGTGTTTGAAGTATTCATGAGCCATGATAAACAGCTTGAGTTTGCCAAGTTCTTTGTTTTGAATGCAGAAGTGCTAAAGAAAATTGAATTTGATGGAATATATGGGGCCTACAACAGTATATCGCTGGCTTACCAACACAGGCTGCTAAGAGTGGAAAACAGAGCTTCTCGAGATGCTCAATTTGAATTCATGAATAGACATCGTGATACTGAGAAACATCTCAACAAGCATAATTTGTCAGTGGCTGACCCCTTCCAACAGCCATAGACAGGGTTGATGCCTGAAGATTTCACTGTTCTTAGTGTCTTGTGGTATGTCTAATGATTGCATCATCTTCCGCATATTCCTGCTCTTTTTCTAGTCTAAGGTTCCTCTGTAATTCTGGTAAGTTATGACTGTTAACACTGCAAGAGATGCTTTTGGATGCAGAAATAGTGCACTGTGGAAAATTTCTGATGGGCAGGGATGCAAAAATATTACTTCCAAAATTTGTAGCTGTTAAGTGGTAACCCCATCTGCCAAAACTCCTCCTATGGTCTTATCCTGTGCAATCGGCTGTGACTTTGTTCTGCCAAAGCTGGGCTAGGAACACATCCTTGCGTTGGAAACTTAATTGCCTTTTCAGTTATCATATATACATAAGGAGAGAAGTTTGATGGCTGATTTGTTTTTTATGTGTGTGTGCATATATCATTTGCTTGATGCTTACAAAGGCCTTTGCATATGGCCCCTATGCTTAAGCATGTTTCATTGCTGATTTGTGTGTGTGTGTGTGTGTGTGTGAGAGAGAGAGAGAGA